CATGGAGAGGTACCGTTCGTGACATCATTGAGGCCGGCTAGATCAGGCATGTAAGGCGTCGTTGAGGTGAAACCTATAACTTCTAGTCGTTTGAGAAGTTGTACGCAGCGTGTCCGTTACTTTTGTTTACATTGAATGGTTTACTCACGCCATTTCTCCTGATTCTATTCAAACACCTGCGAAGAGATTTTGAGGATACCTTGTTTAGGACTAACCTTCTTTCTCTTATCGCGTCTCCTTATTTTTCTGGGATTTTGTGTTTTTATTTCAGCCCTGCGTTTGTTTGCAATTTTCTGTTGTCACTGTCCTACCGCGCAGGCAATAGTTCGTTGCACTTTTCTCATTTTCCTCGGTCCGCGCCAAGTGGTCTTGCGAGCCAAGTAAATAGGTTTTAATAGCACGCGGGGATTTTTTTGAATTAGCATGCTTCACCTATGAATTGGGGCGTTTAGTTCCTATTAACAAGACAACGAATTCCAGTCTGGATTTAGTTGCTTCTTTGTGTTTTGCCACGTGCGCTCTGTCTCAATGCCGATTTTGCGTCTTCTGTTAATCGTCCTTTTTAGCGTCTCCTCTATGCCAAGCACTTCTTTTCCCTCACCTCGGGTCACAGAGCTCGCAAGTGCCGCATCCCACACTTTCGCCTCAACAAGGTGACTCATGTGAAGTGTTGGCTGACCTTGCGTTCCTACCTGAAGAAGCAGGGGCCCCAACGCTCAGTGGAGAGCATCATTACGGCTGCCTTCTACCTAACCTTCTCGCTGGGACTGTTTGTCTGTGCTCAGGTTGAGTTCCGTTTATCATACACTTCTTGTTTTACCTGCCTCGTCGTATTGTGCCTTTTTAGACACCGCACCCAGGCTCCCTACGACCCAATCGATTGCTGGGCATGCTGTAGACAAGCGTGTGTACATGAACGGGCCAGTCCGCACATGAACCGCGCCCCACCGTCACTCACATTGCCATTTCACGGAAGTGGACATTTCTGAATGGAAGTTCGAAAAGCGACAGACATCCACATATCGAGGAAGAGTAAACATTGGTGCCCCGCTCGAGTTATGAACCCCCGACCTTGTTAGTTAGGAGTCTACTGCTCTAACCACCGCGCCACAGATTCACTGTCTTTTCGGTTTCTGATCGAGAA